CGGGCACTGGGGCCTTCGGTGGAGCTCCCTATGAGCCACGAAACGTGTGAGGGGTGTGCCGAAATGGGTGTGGGTGACGCATGCGGGCGCGGGCACTGGGGCCTTCGGTGGAGCTCCCTATGGAGCCACGAAACGTGTGAGGGGTGTGCCGAAATGGGTGTGGGTGACGCATGCGGGCGGGCACTGGGGCCTTCGGTGGAGCTCCCTATGGAGCCACGAAACGTGTGAGGGGTGTGCCGAAATGGGTGTGGGTGACGCATGCGGGCGCGGGCACTGGGGCCTTCGGCGGAGCTTCTACTATGGGGCCACGAAACGTGTGAGGGGTGTGCCGAATTGTGTGTGGGTGACGCATGCGGCGGCAGCACTGGGCCTTCGGCGGAGCTCCTATGGGGCCACGAACGTGTGAGGGTGTGCCGAAATGGGTGTGGCTGACGCATGCGGGCGCGGGCACTGGGGCCTTCGGCGGAGCTCCCTATGGGCCACGAAACGTGTGAGGGTGTGCCGAAATGGGTGTGTGACGCATGCGGCGCGCACTGGGCCTTCGGGGAGCTCCCTATGGGTGTGAGGGGTGTGCGAAATGGGTGCGGGACGCATGCGGGCACACCCACTGGGGCCTTCGGTGGAGCCCCCTACGGGGCCACGAAACGTACGAGGGGTGTGCCGAAATGGGTGTGCGGGACGCATGCGGGCACACCCACTGGGGCCTTCGGTGGAGCTCCCTATGGGGCCACGGAACGCGTGAGGGCGTGCCGAAATGGGTGTGGCTGACGCATGCGGGCACACCCACTGGGACCTTCGGCGGAGCTCCCTATGGGGCCACGGAACGCGTGAAGGGCGTGCCGAAATGGGTGTGGCTGACGCATGCGGGCGCGGGCACTGGGGCCTTCGGCGGAGCTCCCTATGGGCCACGAAGCGTGCTCCGAAATGGGTGGTGTGGGGGCCAAATGTGTGAGGGGTGTGCCGAAATGGGTCGCATGCGGGCGCGGGCACTGGGGCCTTCGGTGGAGCTCCCTATGGAGCCACGAAACGTGTGAGGGGTGTGCCGAAATGGGTGTGGGTGACGCATGCGGGCGCGGGCACTGGGGCCTTCGGTGGAGCTCCCTATGGAGCCACGAAACGTGTGAGGGGTGTGCCGAAATGGGTGTGGGTGACGCATGCGGGCGCGGGCACTGGGGCCTTCGGTGGAGCTCCCTATGGAGCCACGAAGCGGTGTACTGGGTGGGTGAAAAGGAGAGGAGGAGAGGAGGGGAGGAGAGGAGGAGAGGAGAGGAGAGGAGAGGAGAGGAGAGGAGAGTAGAGGAACGCGGGGCACCGTCTCTTCAAAACGAGGACCCAACACCACAGGATGGTTGGGAAAAAGTGTGTGTGTGTGTGTGTGTGTGTGTGTGTGTGTGTGTGTGTGTGTGTGTGTGTGTGTGTGTGTGTGTGTGTGTGTGTTCGTGGGGCCCAGCGCCGACCCAAGAGACTCCGCGCGGACACCAGAAAACCCCTGCTCGCGCAGACCCGCCCTCAATGAGATCTGACGTTATGATCACCTTGCCAAACTCGACCGGAGCCCTGGACCCCACCTTTGTGCGGCCTTTGTCGAGCTGGATCGATATGTGAGAATCCCAGGGCCCAACACAAGGCAAGAATGCCCGTTGGAACCAAAACGTGCAACGCCAGGGCCTCAGGGCAGCTCTCGACATTGCCCCGCCCCAGAGCTTCGCTGTCATGGTGTTTCAGAACGTCGACCCCCAGAGGTTTGGACCCATTCTAAGGGACCGGTCCTTCATACCGAATCGTTTTTTGACAGTTCCAAGGCCCGGCCTAATATTTCATCTCGAGCCGTTTTTGTTTTTATTCTGTTTCTTTCAGGATCTGGGGGGTCTGGGGTCAGAGGATTGCGCCGCATCGTTGATGCATCTTCGATGTATCGGCGATGCACCAGCGACGTCGGCGATGCATCGGCGACGTCGGCGTGAAGAAAGTCGAGCTCCACATCGAGCTGCGGACGGATCCTCCGACCCAATCTGATCGGATCTCATTTGGGAGGCCTCTGACGGGTATCAGGACAGCTATCGACCGTCCCCCGCCCCACCGAAAATCGAAACATTCAAACCGACAAAAAACGAACACCGAAACATTGAACACTCAGAACAAACCCGGCGTTTTGAACATCAAGTACAGCCCCACCTCCGAAAAACGGCAGTACAAAAGCAAATCGAACCAACAACGGCGCGAACGTTCACCCCAAAACGGAACAAAAAGCGGACCCCCAGACGGACAGAAAACACAGCGACATCGAAAACTGGGGCAACACGTCCCCAGCGTTGTTTGGTTTACAACATATGGGGAAACTAATAGGTAGCGATACCGTTGCTCCCTGGACCTCTCCCGGGCTGACCAGAAATTCGAGGCGAACCCAGCGGTGGCGACGAGGGTCCCCCAGGAGACCCAAAAAGGCGAAGACGAGGCAAGGGTACCGGTACCTTTTCCTCCTCTCACATGCGGCGAGCCCTGCGTGGGAGAGCGAGGGCTTCTCGGAAGCCCCGCCACCTTCTGAGAAGGCCCTCTCCTTCTCGCTTCCCGCCCTCGCTCGCCGCCGATCTGAACATGAGCCGCATCGCCGACACGCCACCGATACATCGACGATGCATCGACGATGCATCGACGACGTCGGCGATGCGTCGGCGACGTCGGCGTGAAGAAATCGGGCTCCACATCGAGCCGCATCGCCGATGCGTCGGCGATGCGAAGCGATCCTCCGACCCCACTCCGCTCCGACCCCTTTCCAAGAGGCCTATAAGAGACCCCGAGCCGCCGCCCCTCCTCCGTGCACGGCGCCCCGCCCCGCCCCGCCGCGGAACGCGGCTTTTGGGGGGGCATGACGCGGCTCTCTGGCGGGCGCTCGGGACGACCATGCACCCCTTCAGCACGCTCTCGGCGAGGCGCAGCTGCAGGCAAGAGAATCCCGAGGCTGGGACACCGCCGAGCGTCGACGAAACACCGTCCGACAAAACCTCGAACATCGAACCCGACACTTCCCCCCCTCGGGTCGGGCGAAAGGGGGGGATAGCAAAGGGGGGGTTTGAGAACCAGCTCACGTAGCTGATTTTCCCGGCGCCTCCCGGCGCCGGAGGCGGCTATGTATCGAGGAATGGGCCCCTCGGTGGGGCCGAAACCAGCTGCGTGCAGCAAATTTTGTACCCCCCCCTTTCCCAATCCCCCCCTTTCGTCCGGCCCGACCCCCCCGCCCCCGCCCCCGCCACCACCTCCGTGTACAGCGCCCTGCGCCGCTCCCGCGCCATCCGCCACGCGGAGCACACGCCCGTCGCGGCCACCAGCGCCAGCGGCAGCACCAGCGCGCCGGCGGCGAGCGGCGGCCCCCGGGGCCGGGGCGCTGCGCGCGCCGCCCCGGGGGGCAGCGCGAGGAACTTCTTGAACATGACCTCTATAGTTCACCAGCCTCGAACGCATCCCTATCCCCGAGATTGACACGCCAGAAGGCGATGACAGGCTCAGGGATTCGCCCTCAAAAAGTAAGGGAATCCCTAAGATTGGCGTCGTGATGCGGAGGTGCCCAGCTTAGGGATAGGGATATGTTCCAGGCTGGTAAATAGTGGAGCGCAAACCCCGTCGAGTTGGGACAAAACTACGCCGAGAGGTTTGCCGTTCTTTGCGGCGGCTGGGGGCCCTCGCAGGGCCCTGGGCCGTCACAAAACGACTCAGGATGAAAAAACAATTCTGGGGAAGGGGTCGGGACCTCTGGGGGTCAACGTCATGAAAAATCATGGCGTCGGGGGTCCGGGGACGCAGAAGGACATATAAATACTATGTGGCGGGTTCCGACAATCCCTGAGCCCAATAATGTTGTCATGTTACTGGGGCGCATGTTTTGCTTCCGCTGGCCTCCGCTGGTTTTCCGCTGGCTTCCGCCAGCGGAGCCGCCCTCGTTCTGCTTCCGCCGCCTTCCGCCAGCCTTCCGCCACCTTCCGATGAGGAAGAGAAGGCAACTCCTTCGATCCTCGAAGGCGAGGCCCTGCTGGAACGCCTCATGCGTCCTCCTTGGAGGCGTGCGTCCGGCCAGATGCATAGTACAACTATCTGATAGTGCATTGTGATCCCAGGCGGTCTGGCCAGAAAGCGCACGGCCACCAAGCATGTACTTTACGATTTCAGAGAGCGCGTGCCGCCCCGCGGGGGGCGACGCTCGTGTAGTATGAGTGTGTTTGGGTGAGGCATGGTGAAGCCGACCTCGGACGCAGCCCCTGCGCCCCTGCCGCTCTCCTCACGAGCGGCAAACTTTGGGGGTTCGAGGTTCGAGGCTCGAGGTTTGAGGTTCTTGGGCGCCGCCACTGCTTCTCGGCAGCTTTCCAGCCTCGGGATGCCTTCCAGCGGCTGCGCCTCGCCGCGGGCGTTCCGGGGGTGCCAGGATCGTCCCGAACGGCCGCCGGAGAGCCGAGTGACGACCCGAAAACCTGAGGCACGAGCGGCGAACCTGTTCGTATTTGCGCCCTCGCGGTCTGTCTTCCAGGGCGCGATCCCGCGGATACGCGGTGGTCCGCGCGAGGCATCCGCGAAAAAACGCCGAGCATCCGTGGGTCGCGGCCAGGGGGCCTGGCCCGAGGCCGTGGGTACGGATATGTTTTTCACCCACGATCTCCTCGGCGTGCCCCGCCAGCAGCGCCCCGGCCTCGGCGAGCGCTTCTGAGAGCGTGCGGCCGGTGAAGCCATGCGCCCACTGGTGGTACGCCGCCGCCTGCACGGCCTCGTCGGACGCCGTGTCCCAGGCGTCGACGTCACCGCCCTTCGCGCGCACGGCGCGCCGCAGGAATGTGGCGAGGTCGCCCGTGTTGCGGCGCGAGGCCACCAGCGAGAGGCCGTCGTCATCGAGGCTGGCCAGCTTGGGGTCCGACTCGCCCGCGCAGGTGCCGGCGTACAAGCAGCACCCGTCGCGGGCATTGCTCGACTTGCACCGGGGCGCGGGGAACCTCGCGCTGTCGTTGTAGTCAACCGTCTCAAAGATGGCGAACGGGCAGAACGGCTTCGTGGGAGGTCCCACGCTGTTCGCAGCACCTGGGATGAAGCACGTCTGGCACACCCCGGAGAAGGAGCGTGTGCAGTAGGGCCCACCTGCGTCCTCAGAACAAAAAAAGCATCGGCTCTGTCACAAACGTTCGGAGGCCCGCGCGGATTCCTGGGAAGGGGGCTGGGCCGGAGCGCGCCAGGGGCGGCGCCAGAGGAGCCGCTGAGGGGACGAAAGAAATCCGCGCGGACCTCGAGAAGCCTCTCTTCGCGCAGACTGTTTCTTCCTCGAGTCCTTGCCAGGTCTGCACCTGCCGCTGCCCTCCCTGACGCAGGGGATCTGCAGGCCCAGGACGTCCTGGTGCAGCAGGCGGTGCTCCGTCTGCGCCCCCGCGATGCCGAAGAGGTCGGCCAGCCGCTCGGCTCGGCGCAGGTTGGCGCGCGGGTCGCAGCGCCCCCGCCAGAAGGGCAGCCCGAGCTCCACCGTCCTGCCCGACGCGAGGAGCTCCAGGCACCTGAACGACGAAACGACACGGTGCCCAGGGGCGGGCGCCGCCGCGCTCTTGCTCGCGAGAGCATTTGACACGTGCGCGGAGCTGCTCTGCCAATGCCACGCCTTCCTGTGGCTCTGCTGCCATCCTGCCCTGAACGCACACCGCCTGAGGCGGCGGAGAGCTTGCCAGATCCAACCAACAAAATGTGAGACGGCATAGCAACCTTACGCGGTGGCTTACGCGGGCCGCTGGAGCTGCACGCCACATTGGATACGAGGGCGCTGACGCGCGAACTTGCACGGGCAG